TCCTGAGAGAAAGGTGACTTGAGCCTTTGAACCAACGTTTCCACTATTTCTAGAGCTTGAGCTTTCACGATGTTCAACATATCTCCAATTCAATCGTTCACCTCCTTGAACTTTTGGTTCAAAGAAGCGTCTTCTTCATGATGTTGCTGAGAGTCGTTTTGACTATGCTCATCCACCAAGTTTGGTTCATGGCTGGAGTAAGCCCCTTTAAAATGAAGATCCTGATTTTCTTGTTGATTTTGAGGACCAACAAGGCCTTGAAAAAGTTGTTGAATTTTCTGGTTTTGTTGAGCCATGCCTCTAATGGCTTGGTTCATCTGATCTATATTCCTTTCAAGGTTGTGAATCCGTTGGGCCTCCTGACGCTTGTTAAGGCAAGGAGGGTCTGTATACGGATTTTAACCCCAACATTCCCTTGAGTAGACTGTTCTCTGATATGGTTGACTTGATTGGCATTCATGGCTCTAGTTGACACCTTCACCAGTTAACAACAAAATTGAGAAACAACTTCAGTTATCAAGTCGTTTTCCACAGAAGGCGACAAATTATTGAAGTAAAAAATGTGTCTAACTATTCTAAAATCTGTTGAGGCTGATCTAGGCCTGGATACATCTTTTCCTGAGCTTTGCATGAGGCTTCCTGCGGTTGTGGTACCTAAAAGAAAGTCGAAGACCGAAGGAGTGCTCCGGATGCCGACTCTCTGATGCTTAAGTCAGTATCTGAGAATTTTAAGGTGCAACAATTTAACTAGGTTTAGTGTGCTTACTTGGGTCTTATCCCAGAGGTCCCATTTTATAGTATTTTGATAGGTGTCCCAGGGAGAGTGGACTCTAGGCTCTCCTAGTAGTTTGAATTTGCCTGATCTCCTTTCGGTTGAGGAGTCTTGGTTTCTATGGGCTTTATCCCTTGTTGGGATAACCATCCAAAGTCCTAGTTGTGCTTAGAGTTTGTTTGATTACATAGATAAGGCTTGTCGAGCATATGGTCTTATGCTTATCCCTTGTGGTTTGGCAGATAAGGTTCCTAACAATTCGGGATAAGATTTATCATCCTTCTGGTTTCCACCGGGCTGGGAAAAGTTGAATATCTGAGGTTATTACTCCTCTAGCTTTCCTTTCTTGCTAACAGGTTAGCCAACAATTATATTTCTGAAGGTAGTGCCAACTAGGACCTTTCTCTAAGTTGAGATTAAATTCTCCCCATCATAGTGCATATTCCATGGTCAGAGAACTCTCATGCTAATTCTTTAGCACTATTGACTTTGTCTTTTCATGATGACCTCTCTTGAATGATCCCAGTAGAGCTTCTAAAAATGTCCAACATAGAGGAGGAAGTTGTTGAAGTTAAAATAGCTCAGCAACACGAGGGGACTGAACCTCTCATTCAGCATTTGGAACATGGAACTCTACCATCTGAAAGGCCAAAAGCTCAAAAGCTTTAATGGAAAGTAAGTATGTATGTGTTAATAGAAAGAATTTGGTATAAAAGAGGTTTCTCTCCACCTTACCTACGTTCCTTGGAGTCTAAAGATGCTGAATACGTTCTCAAAGAAATTGACGAGGGAGTTTGTGGCAATCACTCTAGAGGAAGAGATTTGGCTTATGAAGCTCTATGCTAGGGTTACTATTAACCCACCATGCAAAAGGATGCGTTGGATTTCTCCAAGAAGTGCAATAAGTGTCAGAGGTTCACCAATATCCTCAAAAACTCTCATTAGGAGCTAACCTCTATCACTAGCCCTTGGCCTTTCGCACAATGGGGAATCGATATAGTAGGACTTTACCTACTAGGAAGGTGCAAAACAGGTTCGTAATTGTGACTATTGACTATTTTACCAAAACGCATAAGCTTCATATAGAGGTCAATTGTCTACCGATTTGGGGTCCCTAAAGTCCTAATAACTGATAATGACAAGCAGTTCGATATTGAAATCTTTAGAGAGTTTTGCTTAGACTTGGGAATTCAAAATTATTATTCATTTGCTATCCATTCTCAGGCAAATGGGCAAGTTGAAGTCACAATTAGAACACTACTCAAGGGTCTAAAGATTAGATTAGAAGTTGTGAATAGGTTATAGGTGGAAGGGCTCCAAAGCATTTTATGGGCATACAAGACCACTATGAGGTCCCCCATAGGAGAAATTTCATTCTCCTTAGCCTTTGGAACTGAGGTAGTAATCCCTTTTGAAATGGGATTAGAAACCCATAGAATTCAACACTTCATTCTAGGAGACAATCAAGAGTTGTTTAGAGTCAATCTTGACCTTCTTGACGAAAAAGGGAGTTAGCCCAAATAAGGGTAGCTACCTACCAAAGCTAGACAACAAGATACTATAACAAGAAGGTCAAGGTCTGGAAATCCTCCCTAGAAGAGTTGGTCTTGAAAAAGAACTTCAACTTCCTAGGATCCTAAAGAAGGAAAATTGGGGCCAAACTAAGAGGGACCCTACCAGGTCAACAAAACGATAAGGCCTGAGACTTATGAACTTTAGAATACCTTAAGAAGTATTATCAGTAAGGCCACAACTTGAGTAGAGCTCAATAAAGGGGATCACCCCTCTAGCTAGTTAGTTAGCTACTTTATGTAATTTTTCCCTTTCAAGGAAAGTTTAATAAAAGTCCATCTTTCAAAACTTAATGCAACTTGTGAACAGATTAGAACATCGAGCAATTTTAGTTTGGAGAAACTAGGTCCTTTCATGAAAGGACACCTCCACCATAAGGTTGAGAAGAGAAGATTGTTCCAAAAATTAAGACACCTAGCTCAGAAAAGTAAGATAGGACCTCCATAGTTGGCAGTGATCCTTTTCTCGGTTACATTGAAAAGACCTTTGTATAGGGCCCCAAAACAAAAGTGGGCAATGCCAATTTATTTTTGTTGGCCAAGCAGGTGGTCAATCCAACATATTCTCTGGTAACCTTAAAACCAGGAGCATAGAGTAGAAAGCGACAAACCCAATGAATACAAAAGGCTGGATGTTTCTCAAAAGATGGAGGAGTAGAATTTGATGGAAAGGAACAGTTACTTAATTCGAATTACCCTAGACTAGATGGGTTTGATGTACAACACCGAGATAGACAGAGACATCATGCCAATTAGAAGGAGTAAGGCATTACAAGACTGCTTGTAGAAGCAAGTAGCTACACCAATCAACCACCACTTCATCAGTAGAATATATGTGGAGAGCTTGATCAACTCATTGATCCCCCATCGTCTCCATCCAAAAGAAAAGTGTTTCTCCAATCGATCTACCCAGTCAATCCATCACTAACCAGGATTGATCCATGATCGCAAATGGTTACTACGTTGGTCCCAAGATTTCCTCTAATGATGAGATTATTTTATCATTAGGGTTTTCCCTTCAAACATGGTAATATTTGAAAGTGCTGAGTACAATGTTGCAACTAGAATTTGAAGTAGGAATAAAAACTCTATTATCTATAGATTTCTGTGCGGAATGCATAGGAGAAAAGGGAATATCTCAGGCAGAAGAAGAAGAGATTGGTTGAGAGGTTTGTTTCTTGGGCGCCATTTGATGAACCAAGGAGCCCTAAAAACAAGGATGAATGAGGAGTAGCAAACCACATTGAGTAAATAGTAGAGCCTCTAGATGCTTAAATAATGTTCCGTGAGTTATCATTCGAGAAGTGTGTTTATTTATTCAGGTTATTAAATTAATCCAAAATAAATGAGGGAGACATTGCTTGCTCCATATTCCACAATCTTAGCGGACATATAATGGAAATACGTTAGTGGTGATTGAATCTGCTAAAAGAATTGCCAAGTGGCAAGAATTTAAATAAAGCGAAAAGGAAAGGTCAGTTGGTAAGACTTTTGAAATTTAAGGAATGATAGTGACACAAAGGATGTTCCTTTTTTTTTTTTGTTGGTTGACACGATTGAAGTTATTTAAAGAAAGAGCAATGTTACAAAATTCAAATGAAACCTAAAATATTACAACTCAAATGCATATCATTTATTGGATGAGTTATCAAGAACCACCAAGGGAAGATAATTGTTGAAGGATCATGACTATAAAAAGGAACACTAATGGGAGGTTGAAGGACACGATCAAACACCACAAAGATCCATAACTTGGGCATCATTACGAGTAGATTTTAGAGTAATCTTGGGATAGAACTTGACGAGCCCAGACTTAATTGGGCCAGATTCACTAGGAAGGCAGTCCAAGTCTGATTCATTAATTTGACCCAGTTCAAGATTCAAGGAGTCCATGAAGAAAAGAGTATGTGGGGAAGAGATACTCGGGATGGATACACAAGAATTAATTGTACTTACCTTTTGTGACTATCCTCCCCGAATAATTAGTGCCCTCACACTCACGTCACAGTCTCACCATGCCTAGAAATTATAAGTGCTCTCCACATGAGAGAACATATCTTGGTATCTCATTACACCTCTTTACATACATAGTTTCTCTCTCCTAGCTATTATATCTCACCCGGAGCTAACCGTTACTCTCTCTTCCATTCACCCTACTTCATCAATAAAGAGCCACCCGCCACCGTTACCGTTTCCCAGAGTGGAGTAGGTTATCCAAATCAAACCACTATATATCTGCGTGTTGACTTAATATTTACATTATTGTCATTTATTATTTTATTTATTGTCTATTAATTACACCTCATCCCACACTCGACTGTTGATTTTGCACGAGACAATTTTGTGCATCATCAGAACGTAGTGCTGCAATTAAGGCTGTTGCATTAGTCTTCTTGTAACTAAAACTTTCACAAATTAATAAAAGTCATCTCTTTTTTGTTAATATCCATAATACCTTTCTTTTTTGTTTAAATCTGTTGATTAGTTTGTATGCAAGAAAATCCTGAAATAAGTCATTGAACCGTACTCACAATCGCCTAAGTAATTCCGTCAAAGGGAAAACACACATCAAATCTAGGAGATTTGGACCAACAACTTGTCATATTGGGAGTAAAATTCAATTTGATTTCTATCTATCAAATTCAACAATTAAACTTCCAGTTTTGTCGGAAAGTCAAAGATCTTAACAGTATGTTCTCTGTAAAATTTGAACAAATGAAAAGTTTCAGATTCATTTCTACACATTTTAAATGTTACAGGGACACTGTTCAACAAAAAAAAAAATTGTTTACAGGGACAATTGGGGCATAACGATCATCTCGGGCTTAGTAACCTTTTCTCTGTCCCCAGATGCGAACTGTTCGTTGGATGTGGCACTTTCCCGCAGCTTCCTCCTCTAGCTGCAAACAGAACTTATCAAAAGTCTCCACGGTGACATGTAGTCTGAAGTCTAGGCTATCCAAGAACTTCATCTCCATCCTGTTAATCTCTGCTGTGCTTATTCCTCCCACTTGAGCATAATAAGCATTGTTGTGACACCTTTAGACATAGAATGCAACATACTATTGGTAAATGAATCTCAAATAATTATCAGCAACAAGGAGCCAACAGCAGGCTACGTGTGGAAAATGGAGAGAAAAAATTGGCAGATTCAAATCTATGGTAGCATTTTCAACTACTTTTATTTGTTATATTTTTGAAATACTTTCTAAAGTAGCTTTTGTTTAGTATTTGTATATGTCTATTTTTCATTTTTTGGGTTTGCTCCCTTTCTCCAAGCTATGGTACAAATAGGCATATATATTAGTGCATTATTCATTTACAGAAATGCATATGTACTACTTTTGTAAATGAGTAATCAATTATGCTTGATGCTTAAAAGAAATCACCAAGCTTACATAAGCCAGCCTTACAAGCACAAACTACACAGGCAAAAAAATCAAAGCAACTCATACAAAGTTGTAATCAAGCTTTTTACAACAGCCAAAATATATTCAACTTCAATGTTCATCATAAAACAAAGAATCCATTGCCTATGATTTAGCTTTTAAACCATTTGAGAGTTCAAACATTGGGCATGAGGAAGCTCAAGCCCTCAGGCCAGAAGAGAAACTTAAGATAACCATTATTTAAGAATCTGTGATTCTATTCACAGTCTCAAGGTTGCAAAACTTAGGTAATTGTCACGAAATTGCCATATTAACTCGATTGACAGATGACGAAATCTAGAGTCAAATCCAGTGTCGTATAAATTTTTTATTAATTGATTTTAATCTCATCAGACAAGCACTCCCGCTCTTATGAAAAATGAAAAATTTTCTGCTTATTGAAGTGCATTTTTCTTTTCTTGATAGTTCTTCACCAGTTAAGTCTCCCCCCTCCTCGCCCCTTGAACTGAAACATAATGTGACAATCCCAAAAATTAGACTATGTGAGTGTAAAATCAGAACAGTTTGGTAATGTAATGAGAGTGCTTACAAATCATCGATGAATTTTGCAGCTAACATAAATCCAGTAATTAGAAGCCGGTGAACATTGAGGGAAGTTAGATATCCATTCATCTGTTGAAGGACTCTCTCCATATATATGTATGCTACAACAAAGCATGAAGGGCTGCAGATTGTGTACTTGAAAATACGCTCAATATACTGCCTGATGCTCAAGTCAGGCACTTTTGAACCATGGAAGATAGTAATCACATCTTTCATTCTTGAAATCCTCATTAATTTCTCGTTCTTTTGGATTGATCTTTCAAGGACAGAAGAAAGGACTGATAGAATTTCGGGAGGATCTGAAACTCCATTACCGCGTTCAACCAATCCGAGATTTAAATAAGTCTTCGATCCTGTCCCCTTGCCATTGAGTGCTTGTGATCCCATATTCGACTGGAACTGCATCACACAATAGCAATCTCATCACTGTTGCAAATCAAGTATATATATCTTGAAGCATTTTGTAGAACAGATAATGCTATATTTTTCTTTGCCTATAGTATTGGACCAATATGTTTCAATAGAGGTCCTTCTACAATATCAAAATTCTTCTGACTGTTTGCATTAGTAGCTTTACATGTTTTAGCCTTTTGTTCAGGTACAGTCACCATGAAAGATATATACGAAATCTAAGAGAGAGATGATTCCTTTCAGGATAAGATTGCATTCCCATTGTGCTATGATGTAACTGTGCAAAATTCCAACTGAGAAGGATCAATGACAGATACTTGAAGTGATTATGAAGGAAAGCAGAACAGAGACAATTGTGGGTGAAGGAAATAATTGGTATATCATAAAAAGACTGAGCATGCCAATTTACATGCTGGTGGACTGGTTAGGATAACAATTGAGCAAAGATTTACCACTGTTGAAACACCGTGCATTGGGTTGCATGTAAAGATATTGCATTTTGGGGAACCCTCTTACATCATGCAAATGATAGAATTCTAAACCAGATTACCTATGGTGATGACTAACTGGAATTTGAACTTCAACATCCATACCAAGAGCTACGGCAAGAAGGATAAGCTGTTCAGGATGACACGAGTTAATGTCTCAATATATCCATAGCTTTTCAGCCTTACCAAGGAGTTAAAAAGTTATATCGATCTACCAGGACAGATGAATTTATTCCCGAGCAAGTATCCGAACAATGGCAATGAACAATACCATAAACCAAAAAAGAGTTGGAAATTTTGGTACCTCAAGAAACCTGCAACTTTTACTCATCATTTATGTCCTATGTAGTATGCAAAGTTTCTGACTTTGCCATATTGCAGTCCAAAAAACTTTGGACTGCTACTGAGATGAAATCGCAAGTGCCAAGGTGATTTGGTCACTATACACCAGACCAAAGGAAGATGGAACAGAGCCTTAATGCTCAGAGGTATATCGCATATATGCACCTTTTTTTTTGAACAGTAGTACAAGGGGATAGAGGCAATGAGGTTCGAACCCGTGACCATTAGGTCCAACAGTTGGTGGCCATTAGGCCAACTGCTGAATCCTCGCATATATGCACTTATATTGGCAATCTATGGGCTAACCAGATAAGGGATACTTAGGTGAAGGAGAAGGTTTTTTGGGGAACTCAAAACTCCACAAAAATGGTCCTAGAGTTAGGGGAAAACTCGGAAGTGGAGAGAAGTTAAAAGACATCTGATTAAACACACTATTGGTAAGAGCGAATCAGCAAATCTCCGGAATGATAATTGACATAGCTTGGGTCCTCTATTTCTCAGGTGGCAGAACAAAGTAAATGCGGTGTTGGGCGTCAATTATCTAGCAAAGGTAAGTTCTAACATTGAGAATAGACAATGGCATTGGACTATCTTTTTCTAATGAGTACAGACAGATCCCACAGCATATGCATGATATTCAGAACATCAACTTGCAGCCAGATCAGGTGAAATTGCTTCCTGCCTCCAAAGGGGAATACTTTGCTATTACTGATTGGAAAAGTCTTCATAGTCCTTTTCCAAAATACTGAGCCACAATTTTACTTGACCAAAAAAGTATGTTTACTCTAAACTAGTTATAGTGAGGCAATTAAGTCCATAATTATGGTGGATTTTCTGCAAAGAATTCACTCCATTTGCAGTGTTCATCCTACATCATTTTACTATTACTACGGCTGCCCAATTGGCCAAATGGTGGCTCATTATTTTGGAGCTCCTGATATCTGCTGCTCCTCTATGAAAACAATCTACTGTGCAGATGATTATGAGTCTGTTCTCAAAGCACAGACATACAAAGACAAAGCCTATATGAAACTTCAAGCTCACAGTTCAGATGGGTACATAGCCAGTATGATTAAGTTGGTGAAAAGAAGATGATGGACTAATTTCAATGCACACTTCTATGGAATCAATCAGCATATCAGCAATAAGACACAATGCTAATAGTAATAAACAAATTATATGAGAAGTATACCACAATCAAAGATCAAAATTTAGTTTTGGGACGGTCGAAATGTTTCCGTTTTTGATGAAAAGTGAAACGAATCAATATCTGAGGATTGAAATTCCTATGTCTAAAGTTGTTTCTACCAATGTTTCAGATTGTTTCGAAACTTAAATTTTTAAACTTTTTCTCTGTTTTCATTCTATTTTTTAAATGTTTCTAAAACATTATCGAAATATTTTTCTTACCGAATCAATCCAGCAAAACGAAATTTTAACACTTGACCACAACAATGGGCACAAAGAACTACTAGAAAGAAAAACAAATAATCCCAATTGCAAAAATAATAAATACCAAATTAGTATTCATATGGAGTAAATACCAAATTCAACAGTACGGAAACAAAACCAAACCAGAACACACTGAAGGCAATAGCTTACGGCTTCTTCAGATATATTTTGGTCTTGTGCTTCTTACACAAAGACAAATCACTCACAAGAGCTATGCAATATCTTTCCGCCCATTCTGCCTTGAACTGTTACGCTGTCATTCTGAGCAAAAGCTTTATGCTAGTGCACCTCCCTCTCTCTCTCTCTCGCTTGCAATACACACACAGAATCACTTAAAATTTTTCCTTTTCTCTTATTTTCATAGCGTAAAGTATACTTTTTCATCGTATATAAAAGAATAATGTGATTTGACCATTTTTCATTGTTAAGTTGGGGGAATCAAAAGGCATTTAGCTTGCATTAAATGGCATGTAGGATGGGGAGAATCTCCAACTTTTGATTTACTGGATCTTGATTAAGGACTCGCCATTTTTGTTAAAAACAAAAAAAAAAGAAAACAAAACTTTTCATAACCAACACTTAAAAGGGGATTGACTTTATGATATAGATGGGGCTGATAATAAAAGAAGCTCCAACGACTTCGAGTTGAGTTTAAAAAATTATTTAAATTTGGCTAATTTAGAAAACGAATCGAACTTGAATCAAGTTTATAAAATTGTTCAAGTTTAAATCGTTTAAGAAATAAGTCAAATTCGAATCGAATTCGAATAACTTAATTTAATTAACAGTTCTAAATATAGATGGAACGGGATTGATTTTGTTTTTTTAGCACAAGTGCCTTTTCAGAAGAGTGGAACCCCCGAACCTCTCAGCTGAAAGCTGATACTTGATTAATTTAGGCAAAAAAATAAATTATAGTAACCCAAGAACAAAGCTATAGAATAAAGTTTAACCCACACTTAGAAAAGCATATAAAATTTTACTAGAAGAGTTTGTTTCCTCCATCTTAGTTTGTGTTTAGAGTAAATTACACTTTATCTCCTTGAATTATTATCTTCTTTTTACTTTATACCATCAATTATAAATTTTTTCATATTGTGCCATTAAATATTAATTTGATTTCATATCACTCTAATAGATATTAACAAACTTAAAAAATGGGTCAAAGGAAGGAGGGAAACCCTAAAGAACTTTCCACCAAGTACCTAGAACCACTTATTTTACCTTTTTTACAATCAAATGGTTGCTGGGAAGGAAAAAAAAAGGGTCGACTAGAGGAAGAAAATTTAGAGTTTAAGAAGGGTAAAGTCGTGGCTGAATATTTTTCTTAATTTTTTACCAGTAAATATGCAATAGACAGTTGCTTATTGACAGTACAGACCAATATGTTTATTTATCGTCAAAAAATTGACAATCATTATCTATTAGAGTGATATGAAAAAAAATTGATATTTTAAGATGAAATGTGAAAAATTTTATAGCTGAGCATACAAAGTGAAACAATATAATAGTACAAGTGGTAAAGTATAATTTACTCCATTTATTATTTTTTTTTATCAAAATTTATCCTATTTAATAATCTCTCACAATCAAAGACTTCAGGAGCACAACAGACAACACATGTCTTAAACTATAATGAAAATCAAACAAAATCTAGACCTAACACACAACTCATGCTAGGCTTCTGAGGAGTAAATGATGATGGATATTTGACCCTTCAGGGTGATTGGTGGATAGTTTATCTGCAAACAGTAGTAGTCTTTTTGACCCATATGTCACTCTGTTTTTCAGTTTCTAAGCCAAGAATAGAGCGACAAGTTTGAAATCAACTTGATCACTCCATGTTATATTCCACCACTATATCGATTAAAGCACCACATAATACAGGTTATATGCCCATCAGAATATATGCCTTCCTTCCCTACCACTTCCCCTCCAGGGATCGTGTGACCTCTCTATTTATATAGGAGACTATTCTTTTAGATGGAAAAAAGATAAATTCGCTGTAGCGAATCTCACACCCATGCTCAATGACGTTTGCATTCGCGTACATAAACTGTAAGACTTCGATTTATGTGCAATGACATGGATAGATGATTCTCTTCATTTGTAGGTGGATGCCCTTGCTGCATAAAAGTAAGGTGCGGATGCAATAAATTGAACAATAAGTAGTATGCAACAAAACAAGACAAAGAATTAGGGAGAAACTCACTATCATTAAGGATAGAGTTTGCCCCTCCAAGAAACTTGCCTCACTGTAGTAAATTAATGGCGCATACCCTCCAAATTTTTTTGACAAACTTGCATGAGCTCGGAACAACCTTCACTTAGGTCGCCCAACAAATTATTAGAAAACAGAGTATAAGGGAGCACAGAGCCCAAGAGAAAAATAGACTTTCTTCAAAGAATGATCGTTTAAAGGTGAATTGTTCTTCTTGGGAATGGATTCAAATTATAGGCAGAGAACTCGATCAGGAAAGAAAAGAAGGAAAATGAAAGGAGTCAATTAAACTGTAATGACTTGTTAATTGAGATCACAATTAACATGTGAGTCAATTTTATGTAGTTAGTAATCAAGGCAAATAATTTCGGGATTAAGTCTTTGACACACAAAAAAAAATGTGGGGTGAAAAAAATAGTCGAAGTGGCAAAACTCGAATTGGGTAAGGCATGCTCACGAGGCCTAAATCCAGGGATTTGCACCCCCAGTGTACAAGTCATCCGTAACGAGCCCGATTAAGTGGTTTCTATAGTGGCTTCTCCAAATTCCTTGGGCTCATGTGCGCGAGTGTGCCGCCGTATCCTAGCCCACAATTTGCTAAGCTTAGTAGTGCAATAAAATATATGTAAAACACGGAAAAATTAAAATCTTAATTAAATGGGTAATATGGTAATTAAGTTGTTTAAATGTAAGTTAAAAATTTGAATTTTTAAATAACTCAAATGACAAAACGGATTTTATTGTTGGATTCGTCTTGTGAAATCAAATTATAAGTTTCCTCTTATTTAGAATTACTTGCAATTCTAAGAATGTATATGGTATGAGTAGGGTTATGTAGATAATTTACATACTTACCATGTAACTAGTGTGAATAGTGGGATGCTTGGGTGAATTGATTAGCATATTAGTTTATTTCTATTGATTTTGGGTGTTGAACATTGTAATGCCCCGGTCTTCTGGACCCGTTATTTGATTAAATCAATTGATCGATAATAAACCACAAATAAATCTCCGAGTATAGGGTCAGAGCTCTAATTGTTTCAATAAATTTATAATTACAATTTTGATCTCTAAATATCAATAAAATAATCTCCTCAATATAAAAACGAATTTATTCAAATTATACATCATCCCAATAAACCCACAAAGTTAAAAATTATATCAAGATTCGTCTGTCTTCAATTCTTCAAATATCAACTTTGGTCCTTCCCTCCGAGATAATCCTGAAAAATATTAAAGGCGGGGAAGTATACAATATGACATGAAATAATATGCTCAGCGAGAAAAGAATATGAATGATCAAATACCAAATAATTCAATCAATAGACAATCATAAATAAAAGAATCAAGAATCTAATTCGATAAGTTACATAGTTCAATATCTATCAAACCTAACCTTGTACTCGAGTTCTCTTGGTAACATAACAAGTGACACCTAAGCATTTAAAATTCATACTCATATCGAACCATTACAACACCCCTTAGGGTTATAATCACAATCGTACCCCCGCAGAGCCATAATCACATTTCACCAATTATGCCCCCAAGTACATTTCGTACATGTACCAATCAATTTCAAAGTATTTAGCCCAACGTATACGTACAGATCAACCGATAACATTGACATAATTTCATATAAATCAGAATAATTAATAGGAATACACAATTTCAAATAATGAAATGATACTTTTTGCAAAACGATTTAAAAGACAGAAGCATATTGTATACTACCCCGTACCTCAAATCCATCAATGACTTCAATAGATGCGAAATTCGAAATTCCCTGAATCAAATAGTCAAATTTGATAGCAATCTAAAATAAAATCACTGCTGAATTTTTTGACCCTAAGATTTCATGAATTTTTTTTTTCTTCTATTCTATTCTCTCCCTTTTTCTCTCTTTCTATCTCCCTCTCTCTCCCTTCCTTTCTTTCTCTCTGTCCTTTTGTGCGTTTTTGCTTGACCTGACTTGGCTATTTATAGCAAATTTATGCTTGGTCCCCAAGCATCACATTGACACTTGTCCATGTTACTCACCTTTTTTTTTTCTTTCTTTTTGCACATTTTTCATTTGCTCAAGTGTGCATGTACTTTATATATATATATACACACACACACATATATTCATTATATTTATTACGAAATTTATGTCATTTGACTCATTTTCATGCGAAGAATCTATATTTGAGATCAATTTGTTCCTTAAAAAAATTTATTATTTATTTATTATTATTATTATACTATAAAATCATAATTGACGACTAATTAGTGTGTCAATAATTAATTTATATACAGGTCGTCAATACTAATCTCAAAAGTAAAATAAGTATGAGTACATTGCACGAATATCCACTGCGCACTCTGATACATTTTTCAACTCTTTATTAAATAACCCAAAATTTTGATATGAATTCCAACTTATACCGCTGTCTAATGGGAATTTGTTGACTTATGTTGCACATTTTAAACTCTTTTACCTACGGCGAAAGCTAATAGTCTCACTTCTCACAAGACCCATATAAGATCTGATACCTAAGCTCTGATACCATTTTGTAACGCCCTGATTTTTCGGATCCATTACTTAATTAAATCAATTGATCAATAATAAACCACAAATAAATCTCTGAGTATAAGACCAGAGCTTTAATTGCCTCAATAAATTTATAATCACAATTTTGATCTCCAAATACTAATAAAATAATCTTTTCAATATAAAAATGAATTTGTTCAAATTATACATCACCCCAATAAACCCACAAAGTTAAAAATTATATCAAGATTCGTTTGTTTTCGATTCTTCAAATATCAACTTTGATCCTTCCCGCCGAGATAATCCTGAAAAATATTAAAGGTGGGGAAGTATACAATATGACAGTAAACAATATGCTTAATGAGAAAAGAATATGAATGATCAAATATCAAGTAATTCAATCAATAGACAATCATAAATAAAAGAACCAAGAATCCAATTTGATAAGTCACATAGCTCAATATCTATCAAACCTAGCCTCATACTCGGATCCTCTTGGTGATAACAAGTGACATTTGGGCATTTAAAATTCATACTCATATCGAACCATTACACCCCTTAGCGCTGTAATCACAATCGCACTCCCGTAGGGCCATAATCACATT